TTGAATTTTTTAAAACATTTATTTATTTTATAAATGTATGACTATAATCACAAAATAACCTATTTGTAGCCCCCCCCCTCCCTCTATTCCAATATGTCAAATTAATAATTTACGATCTCCTGACTAAGAGAAAAATTGCAGAAATAATTAAGGTTAAGCTTGTTCTTTAGATATCTATTTAAAGGTATTTAAATATTTTTCGTCTCTGAGTTACCCAGTTATTGTCCTATCTTAAGTGCAAAAGTTAAATATCAGGTGATAGTAAGGATGTGAAAAGATCTAGTTTTGTAAAGGAAATGAGTCAGTATACGCAAACGGAAGGTTTTCACCTTTGTAAATACATTTTTAAGTTAGATAAGTAAGATTTTTTTATGTTTATGAGAGCACTTTAAAATTCGAAACACTTCAAACTTTTCGTTCATGAATTACTTCGTTCATTCGTTCATGTGAACTATATTAAAAAAATTCGAGTGTATGGATTATATTCGATTATAGATTATAAATGCAAAAATGTATTTAATTGTGCTATAGTTGATTATATATATTTTTCTTATATATTTTTACAATGTTTAGTACATCAAAACTGTTTGTTTTCGTTCATTATTATGAAATATTTGGAAGCTAATTTTTTTTCTCACAAAAAGTTCTAGTAAAAAATCTTAAAAACATAATACACATTAAATCGGAAGGTGCGCGATATCGTTCTGTCAAAAATCTCTACAAAACATTTTCTATCTCCCTCTTTTTTAAGTAAATAAAATTGACAAGTTTTTGGACAATGAAAAAGTTACTAAAAACAGTTTCACCATATTGTAATGATCTCTGTTAAAAATCAACTTTTATTCGAATTAGGATAAGTTTAAATTAGCTGTATATTATATCCTACTTGCCTTAAGTTAATTACACGTCACATATACTCGCATGTTAGATAACTATAAATTTGTTTTAGTAAGGGTGAGTTGCACCATATCGCCGGTTACCGTTAAAGTTAAAATTATTTGTAACGGTAATATTTGAAATAACCTTAAAATTTACTAAGGGTGAGTTACATTAACTAACTATAAACCTTAACCAGCACCTTCCCGATGGTTACGTCTTCGGATGTTCATGATATTCGCTTCACCAGTTTTGCGCTGGTTAAAATGACGTCATATTTGACACTAATCATAACCGCCCGATTTTGGGCGGTTATAGTTAGCGTTACGGTTAGTGTCAGTTCGGTAGTGTCAACTGTCACAAGCTCTTATCTTCAAAAGTACAAATAATGGAAAAAGTAATGGAAAAAGAAAATCTCTACTATTATCCTATACGTAATCCAGAAGAATAAAGTCTTGCGTGCTCAGAAATAATGGATTTCCAAGATGGAACTCGAAATTTGGCCAAACATTCAGTTTGGACAAATTTCGAGTGTCTAAGGCCATAGCAACAACGCTTGTCCCTTTTCTCTTATTTAAAAAAATGTCCTCCATAAAAGGACAATTTATAATATGCATTGACAGGACAATTTATAATATGGAAAATAAATAAGATGCATTTATATTTGTATAATTTTATTGCTTTATTTTTGCTACATATTTAAGTAGTAAAGTAAATACAGTTTCAATAATGGCCCAAACTAGTTTATTTTCACGAGTTTGCCATTTTCTCCATCTCCGTGGGCAAAAAGTTTGTCACTATAAAATACCATGCGTATGATACATAAATATATACGGCGAAACATGAATTTCCAAACATTTTAATTTACGTAAATGTCATTCTTGACACCAACTTGACACTTCAGTGACATTCAGGTTTAAATGTTTCCATTGTAAAAACGAAAAATACATAAAACCTCTGTGAGAATATGTTTTTGCACTTGTAACCCTATTAACTATAACTATAACTTTTACGATAACCGGCGATTCGATGCAACTCACCCTAAGTATTTTAATATGAGATTTTATAGTTTTTATTACAAGAATAACGTGTAAACAATATAGCGGCGTAATTGCACGTAATTTTACAAAACAGTAAAATTGCATAATGTTTTTGCTAACAAAATCAATGATTTCATAAAATCTCATGTTAAAATAACAATTAAAATAAAATTTTCTGATATAGTTCAGAATTTAAGTGATGTTAAAGAAAATAGTTTTATATTTAATGTAAGTGACAGTAAGTAGTTAGTTTCATATGACATATTCATATTTTAACTAACATGTCCATTTGCTTTTAGATATACGATTTAAACGTAGATATATAATCTATAGAGATCTAATCCATACAAAATTAAAAGATGTTTCTTAAGCCGTTTGACGTTTATATTCTCAGTGTTGCCATTTACATCATGTCAGGTTCACACTCAAATTAAACGTCAAACTTGAAACTCTCCATCTATAGATTATATATCTATAGATTTGAATGAAATATAGTGTCTTATTGATCATGACTAACATAGCAATAGTGTTACACAAATCAATATAAATATTAATTAGTGAGTTGATTAGATATAAAATCATTATTATTTTAAAAAAGTTTTTTGACTAATAAACAGATGTAGGTGAAAGAATGAAATATATACTGATAATATTTTTGTACATCTTAACATTTCCAGATTTTAGTTAATATAAATATCATGCTATATTTGACATTCGTGCTGTGAAATTCGACTGCAGTGGCACTTCTAGTAATATTGTTATCCTTTACATTCTCTATGAAAAAATAGAGACAACGAAGTCAAAAAAGAATCTATCCCTCTGGCGCTGGTGTTGGGTGGTTCTGTCAGAAAATATGTCAAATCTATGTATATAGAATATGGCATAAAAGTAAGGCGCCAGTGGGCTATTTAGTTTCACTTAGGGTTTGCACATGATAGCTAATACACTTGCAAGCTACTTGAATGTATAACTGTCCTGCCAGTAGTTGGCATACAAGTAACTGGCGCGATATTGGATATAGTCACGGCTACGGTCTTGCAAGTTGAGGAAGGGGACTTGATACTGACATTTCTCGCCTCGTACGGCCTTGTAAACTTTTTACTGGCATGTGTAAAGGCATAGCGTAGTTGGCATGTACCGGTAACTGGCATGCCAGTGGTACTGTATGGCTGTATTATGGGCGTATTCCCGCCCTTACCGGGTCAGATAATTAGTCGGACAATACAATTGTCACCGCAGTGGAATTTCTTGTGTTATTTTCTTATAAGAATTGTTTACAGCATAATCATTGATATTAGTTGATTTCATTAATTTTTGGGTCACAAAGATGAATTTTGTTTGGTCACTGCTTTAAAAATGTTACCGTTAAACACCTTAGTATGACCTTAAACTTTTGTATATATATTTCCTAGGTTAATCTTTTTTATATTTAAATTTGAGTTAATTTACATTTATACCGTTTTTTCTAATGCAAAATTAAAGTTTCGATTGAATTGTAATTTATGTTCTTCCCTTTAAATGTGAACTTGAGAATTATTGGATCATGTGATTAAATGATTCTGTAAAGGTTCATCGAATTCTCCAGAAATAAGAATTAAATTATTTTCGTTATATCAAACTCTTTTCAAAACCTTATGTATTTTTGGAATAATTCCTTTTAAACAAATTGAAAATGTTTTTTTATTGCACATTGTAAGGCATTCCGATGTTAAAGTATATTTTAAAATGAATCTCTGAGCGAGGATTTACATAAATTTCGTCCCTGAACGTAATTTATTTTTAATTTGTTTCGTCGGCTTTTGGTGTTTTTAACACATTTTTTTCTTTTTCAAAAGTCGAAAAATATGGACAGTCAATAGTTTAAGTTGTTTCTAAGGTCAAGTAAATAATGTATTATAAGCTATCACAATAAAATCAATCTCGTTAGGAACTTCAAAATCGGTTGATAAGTAAAATAAAAAAAATAAGATCGAAAATTAAAGTTTAAGACCACAAATTTTATATATTCTCAATTTCTATTTATATGTTAAGTCCGCCTATCCGCTTCTTCAAATCAAACGCTAACCAAAAGGAATATCACCATTTTCCAAACATCACAAACTTCAAAGAATAATTCAAAATTTACTTAGGTAAAAGCTAAATCTTCATTTTCTCGTTAAGTATTTAGTTTATAGCGAAGTTTTATGTTGATTCTTCAAGCAATATGATAGATACGTCAGATTGTCTGCATGTATAGTTTATTCTTTTTAAGAGTATAGTGTCTGATTTCTGCTTTTTCAAATGACGTATTTATTTATAGAAAGAACGTTCTGTTGACCCAATCGCTCCAAAGAGATCCACGCAATGAAGTCATCTATTGATGGTAATTAGAAGTAAATAATTGTTACAGAATTAAATTATTTTTATTAGGTTATACGTTATTTGTATATTAAGCATACCAATCGATTCAATGAAGTGTTTTTAGTTTTAATTATTTGTTAGTTAGGTTCAATGTGTAAAAGATTCGTCGCTTGCGACGCAGCTTTTGTCAATGATTTACGTTTTTGTGTATTCTAAAATTCAGCTTGAATATAAGAACATTAAATAAATTAAGTCTAATTTTTTTTGTATTTATTATTTCCCTACCCACATCACGATTCCTCGCAGGAAAGTGCAGACTTTATCCGCTTCTGTTCTGTAATGCCATTTGAAATGTTATTTTGAAACTGAGGTGCGTTGACTATGAGGGACAAAATCAGGCGTTACAAAAGCATTCCGCAAATAGATTGTTAGACTTTTCTCATACAATCCACCAAAGAGTTTCTTCAATATATCCACTACTGAAATACCTTCAAACACTAAGTGTTCTTTGTGTCGCTTATCACTTGACATCCACAAGAAACTAGCAACTGCGATTTGTGGTGGGCACCGGCATAAACCATGTACATCGAGTCCGTATAAAATACATATATGAAAATTACAGGATATGAGGTCCCAAGTGACTTTAATAGCATCGAGCTCGAAAGGAACTCAACTGATGCTCAACTTTATGCTCGAAAGTGTCAACCATAGAGTAATCGTGTTCTGTAAAATTGGCAACTTCAATATTGAAGGATGAATAATTTGCTAATTTGATGAAACTTATTTGATAGTTTTAATAATGGTTTCTAGACCTGTATTCGTTTCCGAGTTAGGATCATTGCGTTTAGCTGAAATAGAAGATGGAGCTAAAATATATGACTTAGTAAATAAAAGTATGGCTGACAACTTTCGTATCAATACATGTAACGACGTTATTCACTTAATGTAAGGATATTGGATAATTTTGGATATCCATTTGAAGTAATTATAAGGCAAATACTTTCAGGTGGTAGTGGAATAGTATGTGTATTTTGGAGGGTATTTGTTACAGAAAAACCTGCGTGTTATCCATATGTCAATTGAATGAAAGCGATCACGTGGCTGGGTTTTTAGCCTTGCAAGATTTTCCGCTAATACCCTCAGTGTGCGAAACATCATGGGAGGATTATGTCTGGACGAAATATAAGTATAATCAAATAATATACATAGTTCTACGTTAGAATGCACCATTGTTAGATTTTTCGAAATACATTTAAAAGAATGTAGTGTACTACAGAAAAAAACACGTAGGACGAAAACTGTTGCGCGAACCTTATTTGTTTGTGATAAGGACTAGGAGATCATAAGCGTTGTGACAAAAAAAAGATAAGTCTGTTTATAATTGGAAAATGAAAATGGATTTATTTTTGTAGAGCCGTGGAATTATCAGCAAGAAATACGTTATTTGTGCATTTAATGTGTTGGAGTACAAATTACGGGCGAGAGATTGTTGATAATATGCTTAGATCTGTGTTTATGCATGACCCATATCTTCAATACATCGCAATGATGAAAAGCATACCAAGCAATACTGGTAAGATATATATTTTACTAAATTAAGTTGCACTTGACAACATTATCTAAATTTAAGATATGCAGACGAAAATCTTCAAAGTAAAATAATTGCTGAATAAAAACAATTTTAACATCCTTACCGCAATAATAAGACTGCTGTGAGAGTCGTTTTTTTTGTTTTCACGCTGTAAATGTTTATGAATAATCGTAAAACTTGGGATATAAAATAATGTTGACTTTTACTTTACTCCATTATAATTTAATGCGATACGAATTGAGATTATCTAATGCCTTGTATACATTTGGACAGTAGTGCAGGCCTGGCATGGACTGTGTAGGCCTGGCATGGACTGTGCTTGCTGATGCCAGTTAGTTTACATTCTGGTCTTTACTGGTATAATGTAAATAATAATTTATGATCAGTTCTAGTGCCCGGTCAGCCGCGTTACGAGATGTCGTTTAGACGTGTACAGGTGATGGAGCGAGGCATACCCGGTGACAAACTGCCCTCATTACAGATCGCGGAGAGAAATGATGTTTGCTTAAAACTGCGAATTAGGAGAGCCGTGTAAGATACTTTACTTTCAATAATACGAGTATATGTTTTTTTGATATAGAAATAAGTACCTACTTACATCTGGAGTATTTTGATAGATATGCCAACGAAATTTAAAATGTATATACCTGTGTTTCTTAGGGAAGAAGACAACGACGACTTGCTTCCAATAATAGAGAGACGTTCGCGACGCATGCGTGACCTCTACGGAGATTATTACATTAGTGAACTCATATCACGCCACCCTGAATCCGAACGGGTCATACTTGTCTGCGAGGTATTGTGTTAACAATTATTATAACATATAAGTCCATTTGCACATGTATGATGTAAGAGAAAAAAGTCGAAAGACCATTTGGACTTTATAGCTTGCATTCGCCCGCGTGGAATTAAAAAAAAAGTGACCTAAGAGTTCTTCCAGACTACGCTCTACATTTATGCCAAATCTTATCCTGATTCGTTCAGCCGTTAAGGCTACAAACTAACAAACATCCATCGATCCATCTAAACTTTCGCATTTGTAATGTTGATAAGATAATTAGGGAAAATTTTCTCCTATCATCAATCTTATGAAATCACGACAAGATGTAGTTTTGCAGTGTTAATTGTTTTTTTTTTACAAAGCTATTTTTTTGTATAGCATAAGGAATTGGCCGTTGGCGTGATGTGTCTCAACACCCAAATCAACTTCGAGGCTTTAGAGGAGAGCTTTGAACTGTCCCCGTTCGCGGGACTCAGGCACCTTGAAGATAAATCCAATATAAAACAAAGCAAGGACGCCGAGTCGACTCTCAGGTTTGTCTACACATGTTAGCGTCTCTCAGTATCACTTAATGGTTATCAAGGTACTTCCTTAGTGGAGATTTCTCCTGTAAATTAAAAGGGACTTCCTTAGTTTCTTAGTAAGGAATAAACGATTGCGGTAATTTGTGATTATTAATTCTTACACTTTATTCCTTGAAAACGACTTGATAAAGATTTTTTTATAGAATGTGTTAATGTTAATTTTATTCTAATTTAATAATATATATTTAAGAGTGTATGTCGGAAATGTAATTGTGGTTAATAATTGTTTTTATAGTCTTCTAGGAATACAAAACAATGTTAATCAAGCCAGTGACCCTAGCGTTAGTCCTCCCGTAGATGGGGAGTCGGAGGTTAAATCTGGTATGGTAAGTCTGTTTATTGATTTGTCTACAGAAGTTATTAAGGTAATTAAAGTTGTTATTGTCAACGTCCCTAAATAGTACCTGAATAACGTTGTTTACAAAATTATGGGTCAGTAATAATCAAATGCTATTTAATTGTAAGTTAATAAGCTTAAAAATATATTTCCCTGGAGAGAGTAGAAGTAAAGGATGCTATTTTGGTTATCACAAACATTTATCTTTACTTAAAAATGTACTTTATCTGTTTTAGATACAAGAAGACTTAGAAAGGGCGGATAGTTTTGCTCAAAGGATGAAAGAAAAAGATTTATCTTCACAAGTGTCGCATCTCAGTACTAAAGCTCAGTTGGATATCATGAATCTTTTGGATGACGACGAGGAAGAGTTGGAATTCGATATTGTTAACATTGATACACATTTGTTAAGAATACCACGGTTACTATCGTACGACGAACTTTCGAAAGCAGCAATGGGGTTAGAATATTATACATATAATTAGAACAGAGGTCTTAAACGAAAGACCTAGCAAGAATACATTAAAGAAAGTATCGTAACGTTAGGGCGCTAAACAAATGTAATACAGATTTTGTCGATGGCATTATCTACATATACTTTCTCGAAAATTTTCGTGCTAGTTGTAGTCTAAAATTATTAAAAAGACATGCTTACAACAGTCCAAGTATTGTACACTCAACTACCATGACATGACATCTATCTTTCTTACTAAATTCAAAATGTTGTGTGTTTTTTTTAGGGGTGTTGCTAATTTATCTAAAATATTAGACGATAGACGACGAGATTCTTTGTCATTTACCGAGGAAAAGTGTATAAAGAGAGACAAAATGAAAAAATCTCGTAAGTACTTCTATGATATCTTTATTCAAAGACAGGTTAATGTTTTGTTTTCAAATCTGTCTGTCCCGTATCTTAAAGGCTTAAGGTAATTTATTTTATTATGTAATTTGACAGTATCAACTGCACCTCCTGGAAAGTTGCCAGAGCCGCCGAGGTATTCAGGCCCTCCTAACGCATTTATAATCGAACTGTTCGCAATGCATCCGGATTATGACGAAAGGTATAGTTCGTTTCAATTTCTTTGGCGGATGATTTTGAGCTGCGCGTGAAGACCTTCCGCATCCAGCTACGTACAGCTACACCTCAGATGTGTCCTGTGCCGCGACTTTTGAGTGTATTCTTAAACGATTTTTTTAAGTTCAAATAGATGATGTTTTTTTATTTCACAGATTTGGTTTTCAGTTACTAGAAGCGGCATTCGAAACGTTTCCAGGCAGAGACTATTGTGTCATGTGCTTGCCTTCAAGCGAACCGTCTTTCCCTTTGCTTGAACATTTCACGGTATTTTGTTTTGTGTATTGGTTACATTTCATTGTAATTTTGAAATAATTGCTTACTAAAATAAAAGGTAATACGTTTTTTGCAGCTAGTAACGCCTTACAACACTATCGGACGATTCGTTAATGAATCTCTATTTGTTGCGCATATAAATTCTGTTAAAGGGTAAGATTTGTTTCGATTCGTATGTGATTTCAAATAATTGAAATCTTGACTACCAATTAAAACAACCTACAGTGAAGTGAGCGTTCGTTTCGCGGAGGAGTACGACATCCAATACCTGAGCGACATCCTCGAGCACGCGCCACGCAAGAACGAGCTCATCGAGCTGATCGAGTCCAGCTTCTCCAGCGATGTCCTCAAAACCTACGTGCTGGCCAGCAGGAACCAGCCCGTTGGAGTCGTCGTGCTAGCGTAACACATTTATACACTAAAGACAGATCTACAAGTTAACATGTTACAAGGGCCTCGGAGACTGTTCATTTTCAAGTTAAATTAGTAGATAAAGTTATGTTTTATGTTCATCGTTGGTACCTTTATAGAGGGAAATGTTTTTTTATCTTTTCTTCGGATGTGATTATTGTGCGATACTTAACATAGCTTTGTTTTATCGCAGGCCTATAGAAGATCCAATATCGTTGCGGGTTCAATATGCGTTAGAACCTGAACCATATCGTGCAGGAAGTGATGGTAACGTAAGTAATTTTTTTTATATTAGTAGTTTAATCATTTTTTTATTAGGTATATAGTATACAGAGTGTAGGTTGCCTATAGTCTTTTTTAGAAGATCTTAAGTCCGAGTACAGTATTGATTAGGTTCTTCTGAAGATAGAAACCTACATATATTTTTAAGACCTGTGGTAATTGCCATCGATGTTCGTAGGTAGTGGTGATCATTTTATTTGAAGCTTCTAGAAACTTTATTGTACTGAATTGACTCTAGATATTGGGCGGTGTTTTGTCCCCTGCAATGGAGCCACACAGTCGCTGGTACATGCGCGATGTTCTGCGGCAAAGTCCGTACACACAACTATTCTGGACTTGTCGCCTACTAGCTAAAGGAGATTCAGTAAGTATATTAAATTTAAACGAATTTACATTTTACTGAGGTAACAATAAAGGAAAAGAATAATACGTCCAATAAAGCTTTTAATTTTTGTTATTTATCAGTTATTTGAATATGGTTACAAAATTTAACGGGTAGTAAAGCTGTTTATGGATACATTTGTAGCCTAGCAACCGTATTAAGTAATTTATAATGTAAAAATATCATACTTTCTAAATTCTTATTTAATAAGCTTTGTAGTTTACGAATCTCTTCAAATTGAAATTTAATAAGTGTAAATTCGCCTGTTATTTATTCTTGTTGTTAGTACTCTTGCAAGAATCGTGTTTACAAAGAACATCAATTGTTATTATTTAATTCAAATATATTTTTAGAGTCCTGCTCGCAACCTGATGTCAATGGCAAGTCACATGACACCTGTACCTCCATACCGTCTCGCGGGTAAAAATGAAAAAGAGAAGGCCAAAGAAAGGTAATTTTAATCTGTTATTTTTATAGCAAATAATTTACCATATGTGTAAAAGAATGGATAAAGGTTGTAAAAGAGAAATGCGGTGGAACACTGGCACAGATCCGTTACTTAAATCTAAAAGACGATAGACTTAGAGTAAATATGAAATTGAAAGACGTAATTAGTTCTCAATTCGCAAAAAAACATTAAAATTATTACTGAAATGATATATTTCAGCTCCGCACCTTTTGCGCTCTGGACAGTTGACCGGCCGATGACCAGTCTGCCGAAAATCTACATCAACCGAAATATTGTTGTGGTGGGCGCCAGCCGCACTGGTCTTTCATTTCTAGAGACATTAATAATGGGGTAGGTATATGAAAATTGGTTATGTTCATATCTTAATAACGACTAAGAAAGCATCTATTTTTGGCTGTAATCTTTGTACTCAGACCAACTTCTCCGTACTTGACGTTTACAAATATTACTTTGGTGTCGGAACACGGTCTGCCGACTGTGGGCGAGTGCTTGCGCGCGGCGGACCGCTGTGTTCCGCGCGACGGTCGCTACACGGACAGATATCTGAAAAGTGTACCCTACTATTTCTATATGGACGTTGTGCCTGGGATTATGATTAAAATTGACAGGTTTGTAACAATAATTTGCTACAATGTAACGTATTATCAGCCCAATAATTGGAGTCTCGTTTTTCTTTTAAATATTTTTTCAGACAAAAGAAATGCATCTATTTAAAAGGTGGGTTGGTGAAGCATTACGACGATTTGGTGTTGACTTGTGGTCAGCAGTTCCAACATCCGGATTACTTGAAGGATCAGTTGGCGCGAGATCGACTGTTAAAGTACGCCTATAACATTGTTTAGAATTTTGTAAAAAGACAAGAACTTTAGGTAGATTAAGTGGTGAAAGGATTGCTGATACTTTAGTATTGGCTAACTAAAATAGGTTGCTAAGGATTAAGGTAATCAAAAGTGGATATTTCGATCTAGGGAAAAAAAGATAAACTGCGACAAATTGCCTATGGACAACCCATTGTACCGACCTGATAGAGTATCAGGATTTACGGAGATGCCGGAGAACTTGATGCTCATTAATTCACTGTTCGACGCAAACACGGGCCTCAGGAAATTACTAAGGATGATATCTGACTTAAGTAAGTCTATTAAATGAAATCTTTAAGCTTATTTTGTAGAGTCGAGCGAGTTTTAACACCACATGTTTTTATAAATGTGGTTTACCTCAATTGTTCGTATAGTAAAGTTTCTTTTCTAAAAACTATTATCATAGTATTCTGGTTTCATTATGCTTCAGTTGTTTTTAAGGACACTAATATCCGTAATTCGGTTTTTCAGAAGAATCATACAACGGTTTGAATGAAGATAATAAAATCATAGTATACGGTGACTGTATAGACGCTTATTCTTGTATCGCTGCTTTACTTGAATTAGGTATTGCGGCTGATATGATCACGTTTGTTGAACCGTTCCCACCTGAAGACACTAATGCTTTAAGAGTAAACTGCTTTAATAACGAAACAGTATGTATATTTTAACACTTTTAACCGACAACCTTACTGGTGCTTTACGATCTAAGAAGATAGAAATAGAAAACATTAAAGTACTCCATCCTAGCGGTCTTAAGATTCAAGTTAATGTTTATTTTGGACTGACTAATAGTGATAATTCAAGTATATCAACTTTAAAACATCTATAAAAATATTTTACTTTTCGTTGTTTTTAGGTCGATGAACGAGTACAAACAAGTCTGTCAGATCTAGGCATCCAGGTGTACCGGCGTTGCTATTACACGGGTTGGAAGCTGTCGGGCGCTCGCATCGAACTGCTGCATTTTATGACGCACACGCAGGCTATCACATTATCCTGTTTTACTTTCTTTTACTACGGAATTAAAGCCATTGATGTCAATTCTTTTAAAGGTTAGGTTTTGAAGTTACTGAATTTGCACATTATTTAAAATAATATACAGAGTATACAGACAAGTCTAGGTTACATATACTTTTGCATATATTACAATGGTCACTGAATATTGCGTCACTTTTTAGTCACTAAGGTTAACTACTTTTTAAAGATTGCTTGTGATGTTTGGTCTTGTGGTTATTGGAGCCTTGGAAAAGATTTTACATTTATGACAGTAAGGTTTTGCTTTCGCAGCAATAACGGAGAGTGGATTAGTATACGACGGGGGGCTGGTGGTGGGCACGGGCTTTGAAACGAACGACCCGAGCGTGCATGCGGCGGGCACTTGTACTAAGTACTCGCGTCGCTTGTACGCGCAATCGCACGCACAGAAGTATTACTCCTCGGAAGATGTTGGAGAAGCCGTGAGACATAATACCAGCTAACAAAACATAAACTAACTTGATCTTTATTTTAATACGAGCTGTTACCCGCGACTTTGTCCGCGTGGTATTCGAAAACATACAAACTGTATAAATTACAAAAAGCTACGTTTCCCTCGGGAACCGGACATTCCTCGGAGATGAAGCTTATCCCATGTGTACTCCAGACTTTGTTTTATATCTGTGCCAACTTTCAATAAGATATGTTGAACCGTTGCAGAATGATCGAGTAAACATTAAAAAACTAAATTAATGAATCCCACGGAAACCGTAACTGTTCCCGGGATAAAAAGTAGCCGATGTGTTCTTCCAGACTATGCTCTAAACCTGTGCCAAATTTCATGGAGATCCGTTCAGCCGTTTAGGCAACAAACGCTAACAAACATCCATCCATCTATCCATCCATCCATCTAAACTTTCGCATTTATAATATTAGTAAGATGTATTAATTTTTTAGTTGGCAGCACTATTTCTACAAAAGTTAGATCCATTTATGAGTTCGATTGCAGATCTTGATCTTTGTCCATCAGAAATTATCTCTCGATACAGCTCCAGTGTTTTAGGGTAAGATATAAATACAAGAGGTATTCTGTGAGAGAAAAATTATTTATAAACGTAAATTACTTGCAGATGTAAAAGTTCCATTTACGGCAGCAACTACAGTAATGAATCGCGATTCCAATTGCCCACATGTAGACGGTTAGATTTATTTGAATTATTAATTACTGACTATAATTTCTAGGTAAACCATGTAACTAAATGTATAATTTTGATGTTTGTAACATTTTAGTTGGCAGCCTGTGATGAAGTTCTATTCGCCGATCACACATTCGGCCACATTGCCGGGTCCTCTCTACTATCTTAAGATCAGGAGGCCCGGGATTGAGATACCGATGGCTGTGCAAATGGCGTTACCACTGCAGGTATTATACCACCGGAAAATGTTTGCAAATTCCTTTGCTACTATATAAATAGATGTAACATGATTAGAAATTATCATTTATTCCCAGGGTCATACTTTACAAACGGATAAAAACGGCAACTATTTCCGCTTGCAATTAAACGCACTGCATTGCGTTGTGTTGGTCACTTGCTTGTCTAAGAAACCTTTCCCATCAGAGAACCTTACACAACTGTTCGGAAAACATGAGGCGTTCTTTAATAAGCTACTAGTTAGATACCAGGTATGTTAACATTGTTAAAAATTGTTAGAAAGAGTGAGAGAGATAACATATGCTTTTATTTTAGATGAAACAGATAGATGATTTGTACGAATTCTTCTCCCAGCCTTGGATGACAGCGATGTATCAAATGACATTTAAGAATTTAATGAACGATATAAATGACCAAGATGTAGGCACTGTAAGTATAAATAAAAAGTATCACTTTCAACGGATATTAGAAAGATGTAAAATAATTCAAGCCTAATGGTTTGGGGTACGGACTACCGATCTTACGGTCTAGGGTTCGAATCCCGCTATTCGACTATTGTCGTGAACCATATAGGCACAAGCCTAGAGCTTAGTTGGAATGGTAGAAGGAAATATTAGTAAATTAACAAAAATCTACTAATATTTTTACAAAAAAAAAATTTAGATGTGTATGTAATTTTTATTGAAAATTGCTACTAATAGATATACCAAGTTAATGCAAAATACGCTAGTATTGATGTAATATAGAATATTAGTGTGTCTTATTAATTGTAGAGCGCTCAGTATAATCCTAAACGTTCAGAATACTATTTATTAAATAGCAAAATGTTGTGTTTGTTAGCATTGTGGTTACTCTTAAAAAGCAGAAGACAAAAGTTGTTTTGTTTGAAAGTATCTAAAAATTAATTGCCGAATGAGACTTTTTATGTTAGTCCCAGAGGTATGCTCCCTAGAGATTGAGTCCAGTCTCATCGGGAATGGATAAAGACATTTGTGGGTCCTAGGGGCAGTACAATAAAATGAACAGTATAAGCAGAAATGTATCTTATGCTTTCATCTTTAAGGTTTACGATCTCTTGAAATCAACTTTCTATCTTCTTGGCGATCACCGACCACCCGTGGAATCTGAGTATGGTATAGAAGCTGTTTATTCAGGATATGGACCCGCTGTAAGTTTGTATTTACACTAGCTATTGCTCGCGACTTCATCCACGGGATATTAATAAATAAAATATTACTCGCTGATTTTATTGGTGAAAGAATTTTTGAAATCGACCCAGTAGTTTTAGAGTTATTTTAATACATACAAAAATACATATCTTTCCTCTTTATTATATTAGTATTTGCTGTCAGTTTAAAACTAACTCTGTTTTCGATAGGTCTATTTTACTATACTAAAGTATACTTAAAAAAAGGTACAATTTGACGTCATATGCATATTGCCTATTACAGGAGGTGCAAGATCTGGGTACTTTCCGGTCTGTCATAGACAAGTTTGTCGGAAGAACGAGCCAAGAAGTGGTAAATATGTTACTATTTAGAAGTTTTTTAATCGATATGCTATTGTCTTCTTTTGTTGTTTAGTTTAATCGTTTTTTTTTTCTCCAGGCTCGTATTCCCGAGGATATACCTTCGGTAAGTTAAATAGTGTTACAAATACTATGTTTTATACTAAGTGATTGTCGATTGTTTCACAGTCCATTCAACTGTTCAGTTGCACAACTAAAAATCAAATTGTTATTGTTATCCATAGTTTTGATTTTTAATTACAAGATAATCACTATCTGTACTCAATTATGCATTATTTAATTTCTTTGTGTTTAGGATGTTTTATCTAATAGATATTTTATGACAAATTGAAAACCAATTAAGGTTTGAAGTAAAGTTGGAGTCCTTTTGTCTATAAAACAATTAGATAAGACTAATTGGTTTGATATATGTTTTAAGGAATGTGGACAAAGTGCGGCCATCAGAGACGAGGCTCTTGGCTTCTGGAAGGCAGTGGGAGGCGAGCGTATCGTAGTAGCCCATCTTTCACGATACCTCAAGCAGAACTACGCGACCAATCCGCAGTATGCTTTGCCAAAATCTGATTAATGTCGCTGTTACTTTATGTTTTTAATATATTGGTGAGTAATGTCTGTTGAGACAATTGTGTTTTGTTTAGACGTATACCTCGGTTTAGGATTATTCCCAACCATTACCCCGCTCTGTCCCCACGTGGGAACAGATGAGAATAAAAAGTTCCACCTTTTGCGACGGGGGTCGGTTGGAACCTATTTTATTTCATAACGGTTCCATCGGTCACCTTATTTGTGATAGTGGGACTAAAAGGTCGGACGGGTGAAAAGTTTTATTCTCACGTGGGGACAGAGCGGGGTGACGGTTGGCAATAACCCTCCATTTTAAAACAAAATACTTTGTCACTAAGTAACAAACGCTCTATTTAACATCAACAGGAAGGGCATGGCTGTTACAGAAAAATATGAGGCGTAAATTCTTTGCTACACAATCGAATCTAGGGATGGTCTACCGCAATAATTAAAAGATAAAATAAAATAAAGTCTGTGTAAAAAAACTACACTATACATTTTAGATAATTTATTTTAATTTTACACATGTTCATTATTCCGACAAGTTCTCTTATAAATTATATTTACATTGAAATGCACAAGATGGCCGTTCAAAAACGTTTACCATACTTTTGAAGATAAATAAAAATAAATAAACATTTAATACATTCTTAATTATTAAATTACGATGAGATCTTGGTTCACAGATAACTGACTAGCAAATACAGCGCGTAGTAATTTAAGAGATGATAAAATGGCCGCTTATCATATTTTTTTGTCTAAACACGTATATAACCTATAGATAACCGTAGATGTTATATCTATAGGTATCTATAGTTTTTATATCTATGACTAAACAATATTTAGTTATATCGTTGAGCTGTTAACGTCTTATAAATATCATGCAAAACATTTTATTTACATTATTATTCTTTTTTGTAGAGAGCTCTTTATCTTTGGAAAAAATATTAATTTCGTTTTATAATTTTTACCAAGGTTTTTTTTTTCAAATGTAAAGGGCTCCCTAAAAAGCCAAAAACGTCGATAAAACAGTTCGGGAAATAGATTACGGACCTTATTTTACTTAATCTATGAAATGCCTGTACAATATGACTAGGATATATAATTTAGCGTAAATCGCAATGAACGCTTTTAGTGTTAAAAGTAAAAATCTATTTTGTACCTATATAGCTAACCGCACAGTAAAGCACGTCTTATAGTTAAATAGCTTGAATACTTTTCAGCATACCAACGTTCAATTGAAAGTCCTTTATAAGTCACACAACTAGCGCCTTAACTGGATTTAATAATGTCTTTTCTAAAAGATTCGAAACTCTTTGGTTTAACTGTGGTTGAAATAATCAAGTAATAGTAGAGTCCAAATAGAAATGAAAGTCTTGCAAAAGTTTTAGAAATCCAATTTTAAAATTCAGGAACGTCGTGTAAAATAATTCTTCTTAACTTAATTGTCAACGAGCCGAATAAAATGATTTGTTGTTTCATTGCTGGCTGATTAGGGCGGCGCGTAGTCGTGCGCCGGCGCCGGCGAGTAGTCGGCGCCGTGCAGTAGCGATTAGGTCTGGTATTGCAGCATGGGTGCAGCGGCTAGGTTCGCATGGTGGCCGCTGTTCATTCGTAGCGCGGATAGCGATTTGTTGTACCATTCGTCCTCAGCACTCATACCTGGGGATAACAAATATATATTAAAGCGAGCATAGCTTTCGCCTGTGACTCCATCCGCTCGGAATTTAAAAAAAGCAAGTATCCTATGTGTTCTACCAGACTCCTCTATGCCAAATTTCATCGAGATCTGTTTAGTCGTTTAGGCTACAAACTAAAGAACACCTATCCATCCAAATTTTCGCTTAAATAATATTAGTAATATCTCAACACTACGACAAACCTTTTTACAGTTTAAAAAGAGGAACTGAAGTTACGTTAAAAAGAATAGTTAAGCATCAGACGACACTACGAATTATAGATACTTTTTTCTTATATAAGTATGTGAAGTGTCACAAACTTTTGGTATGCTAAAGCATCATGCAGGTTCAAGAACTAGAAATGCAGTAAACAATTTAGAAGTAACCTGAAACCAATTGTTTATTCAACGAAGTTTGCATCATTTATTGACTTTCTTTTGTTTGTTGTTCATTGTTAGTCGCGTCTAACTTTGCTTCGAATCTACTTCAATAGTATACTAGATCTCATTATTTACTTAGCAATTTTTCGTGGATTGAAATATATATCCGAGATTAAATATATTCTAAACAAGAATCCCCAGCATATACCAGACATATTTGAACATAGGAGGGTGTATTCGGAGGGCCGGGAGCGAGTAGTGAGGTCCCGAATCGACCCTCGCGTTTTCTCAAGATGCAATCTCGCCGCAGGAAATAAGATATTTGCCAAGACGCCGCGAGGACGCCCGCCAAAGTAAATGTAGTGGAAATTTTCTTATTAGAATATCTACGGTACGATGCCTCGCCTCCATTACTTGCTCGTTTTTTCTACGCCGGAATGTCTCCGACGCCTCGAGCGATGTCGTTTTATGTTTCATCGCCTTGGATTTTTTCCCGAAATAAGCTCGCTTATTGCTTTTAAGAAGTAAATCTTTGAAATACAACTGTTTAAATGATTTTTAGATTAACTTGTGTTTAGTGATGTTTTGTGGCTTCGTTTTGTTGAAATAAAGCAATGCTTGTAAGTCGATAGACTAATTTTTAGGTTATTAATTGTTCAATTTTACTTAGACAATGTGAATTCAATTAAAAATCATCACTGAATTAAAGTTAAGCGTTCTGCTATGAGTTTATCTTTCGTATGATGGAACACGATATAAAATTATCTTTCGCTTCTGAAATGTATGCCGGTACAGCAGAACTAGTTTCACTAGTTAAGCTCCTCAGTTATATGGAGATAATTTATCATTTCCGCTTATAAGGTCGACTAATATTAAATTAACATTTCAAATATAGGTTACGAATGATGTTTTTATTTTGAATGTTTTGTATCAATGTTGCCATGTAGCTGAAGGTTTTTGATTATTTCGCGATTGTAAAAAAAAAACATAAAATAAAAACGATTATGAGACAGTTTGTTATAAAATTCCTTTAATAACGAGCAAAACGTTTTCGAAAAAAGAATAAATGTTACGAGGCGACTTTAACAAATTGTAATTAAGTTTTTTTTATCTTTTTCAAGATCATCTGGCGGAACTTATCTTTCTGTGGCGTTGCGAGCAACTTTTCTCATTATTATAAGGGATATTTGTATAAAAAGGCGGCGGGTTCCGCGATCATCGCTCAGCTCTTGCCAACTTTATAATTGCCTTGACGGCGCTAATAGAAAGTTGATGAAAACTGCCGTCGTCCGTCGCCCGTCTCCCGCGTCGCCTCTATTGCTCCTTGTTTCAACTTGCGTTTTAGTTTTCACTGTAGCACTTTAAATTTAATTGTAGGCTTTATAATTAATTTTATAGGTTAGATTTGGCTTTCGTTATAAAATTTATTTTTAATTTCAAGTTCAATTGTTTCTTTCGACTAAATATTTTTCATGTAATCTACGAACATAATCTAGTCGAATGATTTTTTTCTTTAAATGATGAAACATTAATTTTATCCTAGACTATAAATATGAATCTGTGAATTATGGTTTTGTGGACTTACCCATGGCGTCTTGCCGCATCCCTACGGCGGACATGTTGGCACCGTGGCCCATAGAGAAACCCTGTGGCATGGGATACGAGCCGCCTCCCATTTGCGACAGCGAGAATATATCCTTCTGCAACTCTTCGTAGCTGCCGTGATGCTGCACAAATGTATGTTACGTTAATTTACTGCCGTACTCACAGTCGGCACTTTTGATACTTAATTCCTGGTATAAAAGATAGATTAACCTGGAGGACAAGAACGTGGGATAAGAAAGGATGTTGATGACAAAATTAACACTAAAGGTCTCAATAAATACATTAAGTTCTTTTCATATTTATGTCCTTGGTCTTGTTTATGTTATCTTTAATTATAGTAATACTCAATCCCGCAAAATTATATACAAATTGAATTGACAAAATGTAAATTAATGCACGCGTTCGCATTGCCATTGCGAGCCGGGGCCGAAATCTCATCAACAGCTCATTAGCACACGGAGAGCTCGCTTCGGGGAAGTTAATCGTTTTTCGCGCGCTTGTTTTATGTTAATCGTTCGTCGGGCCGCGGTCGTATGTTTTATTGCTATCAACACTTCAGCTAATTGATAATGTGATGGAGATAATTAACACTTGTGTGATCGCATCAAATACCACCACAATATACACGTCGTTGAACATATATATCGTCAATAGCAGTTGCTGATACCATCTAGTAGCAAATAATTACTTTAACTGATTGCTCTTAAATATTAACAGGCGCCAATTTCTACAGTATCTTTGTACAATCTTTATTTAAACCGGCAATTAACGTCTTGAACATCCAGGAAATTAAAAAAATGATGTCAATTCTAGCCATCTAATACTAAGGGTAACTACGATAAAGTTTCTATATTAGTAGAAGTAACATTAGCAACTTTGAAAATAAGAAGTTCATAGACAAAGAAATCGCAGTGGGTAGGTTAGAAAGTTTATCTCCTAGACTTCCTACCTCTCTAGTCAAATATTCTCCTTTAGTAAATATTGTTAGAAAAAAAGCGAAAAAAGATATGGCAACTTGTTGACCGCTTATAACCTGTAGAAAACGATTGGTATTGTTGTGATATTGAGTTATGTCGGCAGAGCGGTTGTCGCGGCGACCATTTGCATTATTTTCGGTGGCGGCAGCGGCGTCGGCAATCGCATTACGTCGTAATCACAGCGCTGATTAGCGCCGCATCGTAATGAGCGGACAAATTGCGACGCATCATTTGTTTTCGGTTTTTGTATGTGAAGTTTGATGTAACACCAATTTTTACAACCGATATCTTTATATGGATTTGGAAATTGACAATAAAATATCTAATTTACCTACTTATAAATGTTCTGATTTTTAAATAGAAACAAATGTTTAAATGATAAAATTAACATCAGAAGAAACTTACTATATTAGACTACGTATTTAACTAAGCGAAATAATTATACTGTTTCTTTTGATAAGATTAAAGGAATCTCCTTTTGTCCTTACGGTACTTTGCTTGAGGTTTTGTAATATTACGGGTACACATTTATTACTGTCATTTAGGAATTCAATTTGCGTATTTCTTTGACTATTTTTAGTATCTATCATGACAATTACCTGTGGATATCTATTGATGGTGTTAGGATGCGGGTAGGGCTGGTAGCCACGATAGCCCTGTATGTTGCGCATCATGCCGTTGCAGCCTGGCAGCACGGCCGGCGCCAGCGCCTTCTGCAGCTGCTTCTCTTGCTTACGGTATTTCGCGCGACGGTTTTGAAACCATACCTGTACAGAGTACAAAACATTTTACACAGATGAAAAATGGATACATATTTACAGGTATCGAACATAAAATAGGCTTTTGTAAGGTAGAAATAGACCGGTTTTCATACGGATTAGTACTAAAAAGGGGCCTTCAAAAGTTGGGTAAATAAGCATTTACTAAGGGCGTACCATCTTTCAACCGATTTATAACATCTAGTCAAATCGTGGGTAGACACAGGTTTGTTAATGTTTATATAAAATAGAAACCATAATATAATTAAAATATATAAAATTTAAACAAAATAAAGGGCAGTAACACGAAGGCTTAATCCGTTGTTGTCACCAGGAATGAGCGTACGTCGTTTGATATGGTGATTAGAGCTGATTAGAGGCGGGCCGGGGGACGCGGGACGCGGGGCGGAGTGCCGCTCCCTCCGAACGCACTCCCCATATAAATAAACCGATACACCCTACGCCTAACACACCCTACACGTCTATCAAAATTCAAGCTATTTTATTCTTTATCTACTTAAGATACGACTGATATTTCTCTGCATAGTATAGCTATATGTATGTGCGTGGGTGGAGGGAAGACACATAAATGGCGCGTTAGTTTTTTTCCTCTCGAAGCTGTCCAATGTTCGTGTTTTGCTGCGCGTTCTGACGAAAAATGAGGCTATTTCATATCCGTTTAAAATTGATTCGTTTGTAGCAAATAATACGGAAAATTCATTTAATTTCCTATATTCGATTATCTTTTGAAGTATTTTGAATAATATTTCATAAATCTATGATATCCAGCATAAATAAAAACGTTACTTACTACTACGAGTAATAGCCATATTATTGAGGAACGAATTGGTAACTTAGAAATAAAATTTCAGTAATTGATTTTCAATTGATTGTTTCATGGAAGAACTATAGAATGAATACAAACACCGACTAAGTAACCGAAAGAACGGTTCGATTCATTGCATTTTATTCGCTTATTAAATGTTCAAATTATATTAAAAAATAAAGCCTTTCTTTACAATTGTTTTAATACAAAATTATAAAATAAATGATATTCCGATTTTGTTAGTAATAGATAAACGCATTGCCTCGAGCTCCGTGTTATCCGATGAAAACGGTCGCGTTTAAACTGGAAAAGCACGACGGCGAGGCTCCAACAAAACATTTTCTTATTTCCAATTGTAGAATTCATTTGAGGGCAGAGACAATGTCGGGAGGCGCGCGGGGAGGATGAGCGGCTAACTTCGTTACGGATCCATTTGATGGGATTGCAATGCCTCGGGGGCCACCTCTCCCCTCCCCCTTTTTCCTCCCGTCTCTCCCTGGCCTCTGTCCCCTCGCCGCGCGCCCTCCGGCGTTGTATTTTTATATCGAAATTCTCTCTAGAAGGGAGCTCGTCTTTAACGTTTACATTCTTATGTACCGTCGCCTGAACGTTAATAGGTTCCTTCGCGTACGTACTTGTGTTTATATACGTATGTGTGTCGCACGTAAGCTCAACATCTTACGTACAACCTTTTAAAGCTATGTATGCGCAAGACTTCGATCTAATGATGTTAAGTAACCTTTTATTTTCTTATGTGGACTTGTATTTTTTAATAAAAGGAGCTAAATGGTGAACTTACATTGTCAGAAACACAAGTGGAAAATAAAGTAACTGTTGATCGCGTTGTGTAAATAAAAGACATAACTTTTAAGATGTAGTAACTTATAGGTATTGTGGATAATGTAAAAATGCTACAGATTAGGCACCCCTGGGACAAATCAATACAGAGCCTCGGGGGATAAAGCGATTTTAAAACTGAGATAAAGATCGCGAGGAACTGTAAGTATTTCGTATTCATACGGGCGGGGCGACAGATGGCGCTTTAATCCAATACGCCTCCGGCTCGTGTCACAAATTATATTAACTCAGTGTTCAACATCAATGATATTTGGACATTTTAAATGTAATGCACAATATTGTACCACGCTTTCTTTCATCTTGATTTACTTTTGTTTTTCTATGTTATTTTATATTTTACGTGATATTTTTTTAATTAATTATAAAACACAGATAAAAACTTCACATAAATCTACGAGATAAAATTAATAGCCATTTTGTATGAACCTAAAGTGTTACTCACACGAAAGTTATCGTAGCGGTGAGTTGCTACGGACGCCTACGCGCTACGACGTTTATAGGGTTTTATTGCTTTATTATAAGTTTACCTGTATTCTAGCCTCATTGAGTTTGGTTGTCCTCGCGAGCTCTTCTCTGCAGTAGATGTCGGGGTAGTGAGACTTCGCGAATGCTGCTTCTAATTCCGCTAATTGTTCCTACACAACGTCAAATATTTAAAAAAACAACTCACGCACATATGTACACACCTTTAGCTTCCTTCATAGTTAACTACTAATTTAAAATATGGAAACTGAGCAAATGAAAGTTTTTTTTAACTTCTAAAAGCTAAAAGAATAACAGAAAATTGTCTGTTTTTAATAATGTTCTCCGCATTGCACTGTCACTATGTTTAGACAAAATTACGTTTTGTAAATCACGTACTAAAGATTTCCTTCTGATTATTACACACCTTTAGTTTTAACTGCAATTGTTTATCTGTTCGTGTACAGGCATAAGAAAAAGTCCTGCATACACATCTAAATGTTAATTGTACCGATCGATTCTTCAGTCAAACTATGCAGTTACATCTGAAGGTGTGTAACGGGCTTTATATCGGCAGCAAGGAACTTTAAGACAGATAGGTGTAACCAATTCACAGTAATAAATTGATTTATGGCTTGTGGTATGTAATTCAGTTTATTTTTTTATTACTAGTTAATGTACATACCTGTGTAAAAGTAGTCCTATGCCTCCGCCTGGCTGGCGTGGGGCACGAGGCAGTGGTAGGCGTGTGGCCGGCGTGTTGCGGGCCCAGCGCCGGCGACAGCGCGGACGTGGAGCCCCCGCCGCCAGACCCGCCCGGCTCAGGTTTTAACTTCTTGAACGCGCCTTCTGTTGTTAAACGTAATTTATGAGAATTATAAAAAAACATCCGATTACTCTGTGTGTACCGGTTTAATAAAAAAAAAAATCGAGGAAATTTAAAAAGATGCAAAAAAAAATGCTTATTTAAAAACGGAATAGAAATAGGACATCATATTTTAGTAATAATTGTTAACAAAATGTTGACTAACACTAATTTTCCCTACCCTACTGCTGTTTTATTGTCTACAATTTTACCGAAAACAAAATTTAGTCAGAAAAAAAATTTCGTCCCGCGTTGTAAATTTTCATGACGCAAGTTGAAAGAGATGGATGGATTGTGTAAAAGGTGACATGAACAAAAAGGGAGTGATGACTGAGATGACGTATGATAGAGTTATGTGGAGGACAAAAACCTGTTGCGCCGACCCTACGGGAGTAGGATAAGGAGATGATGATGATGATGAAGTTAGAACTCCGATATTAATTTAAAAATACATTCAAGTTTCCAAAATAAGTGTCCGTGACATCACATCACGTAGCCTTTACTTCAAAGAACGTCTTATTAGCATAGCGGTCGGCATCGATCCTTCGCAGTCCGTAGGTCAAGATCGCTCCACTCTAATTGTCTCTTTAAGCAAATTAACCGTGAATATCAAATGTGGAAGTTTTAAACTAAAACTATCGTTTTCTCGGTTTTTAAAGAGATAAAAGGAATGGAAATAAATAACTATTTAATATTTTGTTATGGCAAATTATGTTAATGAATGCTACATTTCTTATTACTGTTACGACAGTTTTAAATGCTAATTTCTTTTATATTTCCTTTTTAAAACAAATCAATATTTTTTTTTATTTCAATGAGAATTTAGTTCAGTGAACAACGTTTACATCTCAGATTTTTTTCTTAAAATTAGTAGCCAGTTAATTAAATGACACCTTTTGAAAGCACAACGATCACACATAAAAAAGGTTCCTAACTGCATCCCACCTAACATTAAAAAAAATTCACATTATTCTCGATTTACCCTGAAAAAACTTAGTAAACATATTTTTGAACAGATGATTCAACAAAGAATCCACGTTATATAAATCCGGTACATTTATATAGACCTCTAGGTTTGATATTCTTTTAACGTTGGAAAAGCCAGAACGAATACGTTAAAGTGAGAACTATAAACGTTGAAAGTGATCTTATTATCTTATTTCTATATTCCGTCTGTATAAATTCCGCGCAAGCTTTTAAAAATGCCGTATTGGCGGAGTAATCAGTTTACCTTTGGTTTCTCTGAGCTTTTGAATTAAGAGGGGGAGATTTTAAAAGCGCCGCTGGAGGTCGGTTTAGCAAGTATTCATGCATTCCCTTTGACAGCGTCCTAGCTACTTACTAATTAACATGGAGCTAAGTGTTTGCGTCCGCGGTAAACGGGGCCTTTTAGCGTTTAAAAGGTTGCTTTTTTCATGTCTGTGTTTTACCTGACGGTTATATCGGTTTCGCTTTTTAATTGTCATTTTTTGGCGGCCATTATGCCGTTAGTGTTGACTTTTTAAAATTGTATTTTGAGTGCCGAATTTTGTGGGTGGTCTGATTTTGTCCACTAAATGTAACATTGATAAAGTAAAAGCTTTGATACTACAATTGTTACTGTTGTTTAATTTTAACTTTTCGAAGTAATTTATTTTGTTTTAACAATTCTTAAAAAAACACACATAAGTTATGATTCGTCTGGATTCGGGTTGATTTTGCCTAATGATTTTTATTTTGTTGTTATGTGCGATATAAAAAAAGGATTGCTAAAGACAAATCATTCTAGTTAACTTCATACTAGTTAAGGTTATAAATTCGAGAGTTTAGATGCATGGATGGATGTTTGTTAGAGTCTGTAGTCTAAACGGCTGAACGGATTTCTATGAAAGACTATGGAAGAACATATAGGTACTCACTTTTTGTTAATTCCACGCTAACGGAGTCGTGGGCAAAAGCTAGTATAAATATAAACATTTTGTTTGCCACATTTTTTTAATACAACAGATATAGATTGACACATTTCTATTTTCCAAGTTAATGTTAGGGTTGGTACAGTAAACCCGAGATATCTGCGAAAAGTCAATGAACAATATTTGTAGTAGAGAACATTTGTTCAGGGGCGTGATAGAGATTCAATGTAACATGTCATTAGGGGGTCGTAATCCCCTAATTATGACGATTGACATAAAAGCGCCATCTGTGGCCGCTCGAGAGGTGTCGGGTGACTGCATCCCGAGAATAGGATTGACTCGCGTCAAAAATGTTACTTCACTTCTATTTTTTACTATGGTGTTTTATATTATAATTCTTTACACGGTTTTTAGAGCAAAAATACACGATAAAATGGATATTTATTTGTGTATTTCTCAGCGAATCGATTTAAAAATTGGCTTCTAACTGTATAAATCAATTCGTAAATTGCTTCGTTTCGCTTAATTCGCTTTTAAAAGCATTCTAAGAGATTTGTCTTTGGTTATAAGCTTAAAGATAATTGCAATGTATTTACAGAATAACTGCTTCATGTTTTCTTAATGCTCAAATTACACTTACTCTATTTTAATAATTAAAAATTCTGTGAATAGTGTGTATATTAAAACAAAAAAAAAACTAAAAGGTTTTTATAAACTAACAAACAGTTTTAGTTTTTATCTAAAATTAAATCGTTCTTTAAATTCCTATTAAAAAAATATAAATGGATTGTACATTCGCTGTCGTGTAGGGTCTGTACCACCTCCGGAGTATCGACGGGGCGTCGCGCGCGCCCTCTAGCGTCGATTCCGCGCTGTCGGCGTGCATATGTCGCGCACCGCTAATAGATTTATAATCGGCGCAAATGCCACAAATCCGACAGATTTCCATCACTGATTGCACCTTGCGAATTAATTTCGCATGAAACACCATAGGGGACAATAAAATAATAAGGAGGATATAATTCCTGAAGTACATATATCATTTACCGTCACCGAAAAGAGTAGACGTGAGTAATAGCCGTAAAATAATTAGTACACATATTTTTCAATTTTCTAATTCAATATGGTTACTTATTTTAAGATCAACGTTATGATTAGGAAGTGTAGGCCCTGTCCCACCACTGGCTGATAGAGTCTAAGATAGCTTAAAAATGACGTCACTATCAGATAAGGGAACAAAATCAGATATTTAAATCACATATTTTACACATTCGATTGTTATCAGACAATTTACAATTTGGTGGGACAGGCCCTAAGCTTTTAAAGTTATAGGAGACTTACTCAAGACCTACCCAGAACATCAGAATTCTTAACGACTTTATAATGTCTATTTTTACTGGTTCTACGCGTGTAGCCGTCAAAGTGGAAATAGTATACTCCATATTAAAGGTGGCCATTTACTGACAAATAATATTAATTTAAAAATGAAAGATTAATGAAAGTATGACTATCATCCTTCTAAGATTATTTCAGATTCTTCTAGTTTCGCAATTACTCCAGGTTTTTTACTAAACTTTACGTTAGCTTCGGTTAGCAATATGTTTTATAACAGCAGCTGATTTGTACAGTGTTAGGGATAAAACGCATTGTGTATGGCGAGTACGCGGCACGCGTCACAATACACACTCCATTATGTTGAGAGGGTACTCAATTTTTTCAATTGAATCCAACTTAACATTCCACTGGGTCGCGGGTACATTTAGTTTCTAAAAGTTTTACTGGCTTTTGGTTTAATCCAAACATTATACTACAGGAATTATTAAAATTGAATTTGTTGTTAAGACTGTCTTTATTTTTTGTAATTAGCTTTTCCGCTCGACTCTGTCTGAGTGGTAATAAAAAAAACAAAAGTGAGTAGCCTATGTGTTCTTCCAGGCTATCCTCTACATCTATGTCAAATTTCATCGAGATCCGTTCAGCCGTTTAGGCTACAAACTGTAACAAAAATCCATCCATCTAAACTTTCGCATTTATAATATTAGTATAATTGTTAGGAAAACAAAAACTCAATAAATAGCTTAATGCCTGCGATAACTCTGTTTACAGACGCTCAATTTTAACTTACAGTTTTAACCAAAGAATCGAACTGTTCAGTTAGTTGAACGATACAGTTAATGTATTGCCTACACAAGTACAACTGATCTTCAGTTCAGTTAAAATTGTAAGTACTTATTGTATGTCGCGGGCTTTGCATTCTGTTGACGAATAATCTAATCAAGAAATCAAGAATAATCTTCTTACAGGATTACCTTCGTTAGATGCTTTTTCTATTTCGAAGATTTAAAATGTATTTAAAACGAAATATAAATTATTGAATAGTTTTTTTATTTTTAGGTTAGTTGGAGTCGTGGTCAAGCGCTGGGTTATTTATGTTAAAAAAAATAGATAATAAATTAATGGCATTGCAACTTATAACTTACATTATCAATGGTTGATAAAAAGTTAATTGTTTCTTAATGATAGTTTAAATTGAAATTAATTTGATACTTAGTTCATATCTTTTATTGAGCAGTCAAAGTGAACAACGACCTGTGCAAGAAAGGTGAAGTGTTTAAAATTACGATGCATTTGAATTATATGAAAATATCTATATTATTATTGGGTAAGAACATTTAACAATTTTATTTTTACTAAACTGTATTAATATTTTGTTCGACATTATAGTTAGAAAAGTATTTTATAACAGTTTGTCTATAGATAAATTATCTTTGAATTAAACTGATATACATTATAATAGTTTTCGCCTGCGACTCCGTCCGTGCGGAATTAAAAAAAAAACTTAGTAAGTAGCCTGTGTGTTTTTCCAGTCTGTGTTCAACATCTGTGCCAAATTTCTTTGAGATCCATTCAGCAGTTGAGACTACAAACTCTAACAAACATCCATACAAACATTCGCATTTATAATATTGGTAAGATGTATCTAATTTAGTTCTAACAGTTGCATTAAAATATAATATTTTTTTAGGTATTTTAGTTGAAATGAGCGTAAGTTCTTTAATTCGCCGAGACCGCGTTACCTCAAGGCCTATCAGTTCTTTTAACCCAGAACCGCCGTCGGATTATCGAGTAACTGGATATCGTAGTCAAGAAGAGTATCAGCCTATTGCGAACCCAGAATATGTGTTGAATAAACAAGGACTATCAACAGAAGATATATTACTTCAAATTCTCCCAATGATAAAATCAGTACAAAAGCCGAAATTCTTCTTTCAAGCAACACCAGTTCGGCCAAAAAATATTTATGTACCTGAATTGGAAACGGTGTATTATATTGACTAGTAGACGAATACCCAAAGTTATTAAATCCCTTTTGGTTTTACTGTTATTTTTACTTTTATCCAATAACACATTATAATTATCACTTACATCGTGGGCACATCTGAAACCCACAACTGTTTAGTCTCGGTTTGATTCCTATGATCTTATATGGATGTGCGCAGACTACTCGATTTTAGTTGTGCAACTAGACGTTTGAATGGTCTGTGAAACAATCGACAATCGCATAACTGTAATGCGATAATTTACTCAAAAGGTGTGCCCGCATTTACTATACAGTCAAAAGCCTGACTTTGTATAAATTTTCAAAGTTTTAGAAACTTGTTTTTATGTATACTTCGGTTTCAGTTCGAATGATACCTACTATTTTTAAGAATTTAAATTAAACAAGTATAACATAAAGCTCGAACTAAGTATAGAAAAGGCTTTGGCCGCATAAAGGAGTGTACACATAAAGGTTCGTCCGGCACGTACGCACCATTGTTACTACTGTACGTGACGTGCCGTGTACACCCACCTTAATTTATATCCCTGTGACCAATTTCAATATGAAGTAACTTAATCTTGTTTAATTCTTGTGTACTAACTATAGTTTAATATTAAATAGTTACTAGCTTTCGCCGGCGACTCAGTCTGCGAGAAATTAAAGAAAAACAAATGCAAGTAACGTATGTGTTTCGCATTGACTTGTATAATATTAGTATGAAGTACGATGGACTGTATTTAGGTATGATGTTGCCACATGTACTATAAAAGCAAATAATTTCGTATGCCTAATTAAAATAAAAAAAAAGCTGTAGCGCATTTGCTTTTATACTCCTATTATAGGTACAGAATAAAGAAGAAAGTACAAGTATTGTTTTCATAGTAAAAAGTTTGAAATTTCGAATTTACTACGAAGTTATAAAAACTTTATTTTAAACTAGCTTTCGCCCGCGATTCCGTCCGCGTGGTATTAAAAAAACAAAAGTGAGTACCCTAAGTGTTCTTCCAAACTATCCTCCACATCTATACCAAATTTCATCGAAATCCGTTCAGCCGGTTAGGCTAAAATCTCTAACAAACATTCACCCATACATACATCTATCCATCTAAACTTTCGCATTTATAATATTAGTAAGAAGTAAGATAAGGTGGAATATTTTTAATATACTTTGATAAACATTCGTATTAAAAATCTAACTAAAATATTTCTATAAAAATCCAATATAATTAATCAAACTTGTACCATTTGCCCGTGTACATGTCCCTTCAAACTAGCACTAGTACTAAAATTCATATGTATGTACAACATGTTTAAGTTGGCACCTAGAGGCGTCTGAAAATTCGGCCCCAATTCGCCCCCCCCCCCAAGCGGAGTGCGGGGTGACGCGGTGGGCGGTCGTTAGTGACATTTCGTATTCATGACGTCAGCCCCGGGGCCGATTGTTTGCAATATTAGTCTAATTGGAATTGTAATACGCGTACATATTCTAGATAGCGTTGTCTATACGTGACAGAAAAAACTTCGTTCTAGGATTTTTATTGTATACACTGAATGAAAGATCTTTTCAAGACTAAGTTATTGTAGTGAACAGGATATATCAAATATGCGGTTTAATAAAAATGAAGTTTAAGATTTTTTTATTTGAATGATGGAGAAATCATAATCAATCTTCATCATACTAATATTGTAAATGCGAAAAGTTAGATAGATGTTTGTCAGAGTTTGTAGCCTAAACGGCTGAACGGATTTCGATGAAATTAAGTACTTTTGTTTTATTTTAATTCAACGGACGGAGTCACGAGCGAAAGCCAGTTTGGAATAAAAGACGATGTATTTATTAATATAGCAGGTAAACATGTAAAGGTATAGCGGAAAACTAAACAGCTTTTTGGTTAGATCCTTATATAAAAAAGTTATTCCATCTGTCAGACGTGTGTTTTGTAGGTCTTTAACAATTACTTTTTGTTCAATTTTTAATGTTCGCCTCCTAGAAACGAGAATCATAAAATCACTAGCTTTCACCCGCGACGTCGTCCGCATGTAATTAAAAAAAAACAAAAGTGAGTATCCTATGTGTTTGTCCAGACTATCCTCCATATCTATACCAAATTTCATTGAAATCCGTTCAACCGTTTCGGCTAAACTCTTGCAAACATCCATCCATCCATTGAAACTTTCGCATTTATAAAATTAGTATGATTGAAATCTAGAGGTTCCATGTTTATGGTTGAAGTTATATGTTGAACAGATCGATGTACATATGTTAAACTTATTGAAGAATAATAAAAAATATTGTTGGTGCCTGAGCCCCATATAATAAGTAATGATCCTTACATCTCGATGTCCCATATGTTGATATTTAAATAATCATGTTACTATTATTATCTAAATCTTTATTTCAGCATGGTAAAGTGAAAACATTTGGAAGCGTACGGATTTTGCGGTACCCTTCCGACGGCGCCGCCGAGAAAAACAAAAGACAAATTAGAAATGACAACTTTACTTATTGGTAGAAAGTATAAAAATGATAACGCAATTAAAAGAAATATATTAAAAAAACAAATATGTGTTGCATAAGACTATGGTTGTTGATGGGTATGAATGTATTATTTTGATAACGAAACAAAAATGCATATAATATACTGTACAGTGTGTGAAGACATAACATGAATATTGTTGGAGCAAAATTATCGTGTTGACCTCACGTCAATTAAAACTCTTTATATGTTAAAGACACAAGCAACATGACAAAGCATTTAAGACTCCATGAATTTTAGTAGCTTTTACAAAACTAGACATGGCGTTGTTTTGGATTTTAGGTCGCTTTTCCGCAAATGCCATAAACATTTAAGTAGTTTGCTGACAAAAGAAGAAATTTCAAAGATCACTTCGTCATTGTACAACTTTTTGATTCCTATGAGCGTATATGGAGGTGCACACTATCCGTATGTACATTCAATGGACGAATACCGTAAAAGTATCCTTAAAGTACTGAAGTTAATAGGACGAAGTGGTTTCAAAAACTGTTGTTGAAACGTTGATTCTATACGATCTGCCTTAAATACTGCGGTATAGGCATGCAGCCTGGGGCTGGCTTGTCTCGAATATTCTCACTATGGGAACACTGTAGCACGAAATTCTGACCACATTCAATCTTAATCAAACAATGCGTTTCAAGGAAAAACACTACAGTTGTATCTTGTTCCATAAAGGCGGAATTTATCTCTAACGGATATAGTTACGTGTGTTTGTTTGTCTCTAAAAAATATCAGTTTGTATTTTGAAATAACAGAATCAACATATTCGTGGGAATGTGGCAAATGTTTAGTTTATAATCTTATAATATCTATTGTAAAACAAATGATAGTTACGCTTTTAACTATTAGCTTATACCACAAGCTAATAGCTAAAAGCGTAACTTTTAGTTTTGCATTTAGTTCATTTGTCTTTTCTGCTGTAATGAATAGGTGACATCTTACCTGAGTGATCTTGTAAAGATCGGCTTAGAGGTGCGGGCGGCGTTGCCGCGTGGTCTCCGCCGTACAGGCCGCCAAACTCCTCGGCGGAAGACGATGATGCGTTGCTACATTTCCGTCCCTTGTCTGGTGTGTATTTGCTCTCGACGCCCGATGGAAGGAACTTGGCATCGCTCTGGTGCTCGTCGAGTAGACCCGGCACCCCGAGAAGTCCCCCCACGAGGTTGGGTCGCAGCTCCTCCATGATCTTAGCGCCCTGGGCGCAGCCACCGCCGCCTGTGAAGTTGAGCTGGCGGCTGAAGAAGGCCGGGAAGATGTTGAACTGCTGGGGGTCCGGCAGCGCGGAGAGCGGCGGCGCGGGCGGCTCCGCGGCCCCCGCGCACGCCGAGCTCTTGAACTCCACCGTGCTGTAGCCGGCGCGCTGTAGCGAGCAGCGCGGTTCTCCCGCGCCTCGCGTTTCGTGCTCCGAGCCCTCGCCGTGCGTGCCGTGCCCGCCGTGTCCGCCGTGCTCGCCGTCGGCGCGGCCCCGACGCTCACTGACTAACCACATTATAGTGACGTCGCTCGCCGCCGGCCGCCCCGCGCACTAATTGTCCGCGACTGCGCGAGAGGACTGTACGTCGCCGCCCTCGCGTGCAAACGGAACGGCCTGCTCCCATACCCCCGTAATCGATGTAAAATCTTTATAGAGATGCTGCGTCTCATTCAAGCGAGGTTCGAGGCGGGCGGGGGCGTCCTGGGGCGGCGGCAGCGCTTCCCATTGGTCCCGCGGGCGCCGACCGGCCGCTGCTATTGGCGCACCGCACAGGGTGCGCCCGTAGCGCTCGGGGCATCTACGCTTCTTTGTTTTATTGTCTCCATAGCTCGTCGGTCTTGCGTTTAAAGTTTATGCATTGTACCATGTTTTATTGCACAAAATACAAAATCACGTATGAACTTCTCGAGGTAACGTGCTGAAATAGAGACGCGCTGTTTTCTATTACGTAGCTCTTGGTCAGTGGTCTTGCACTGTGAAATTGTCTATCTCATAAATTAACTCATATTAAAATTGTGTTTGTGTAGTTCTGGAAATTTTATTAGTTTCTTTCGAATGCTTAGAATAGTAAGAATTATATGTTTCATAAAATTGGTTTTATTGTACCTGAAGCAGATTTGAGTACTACCTACCTACGAATAAACGAAAATAATAAAATATGCAAGATGTAATTATTATTTACGGTTAGAGTTGTAATGAAGAACTATGTAGGTTCCACTTAAAAAAATTTTAGCCAAGTGTAGCCGCGTAGCAGCGTAGCAATGTACATATTCAATCCGTAATATGTCAAAATAAAAAATACATAAATATCATGGTAGAATTTTTAAGGGTTAATAAGTATAGCAGTCATTTTTTTTATTTGGTACCTATTGAATCTATTATAAAATTATTTAATATATAAGTTAATTAATACAATTCTTGATTTAAAAAAATTGCATATCACGTAATGATTTTCTTTGTTATGTTTTATATATTACGCACAAACTGTCATAGTGCATTGTTTAAATATAAAAAAATAGCTGTTCCAGTGCAACTTCATCCACATAAAACAATGAAATTTTATTTAATTGTTTACATTTGTCAAATTACCAATTTCAAATGTCAAAATGACATGATATGATAACAAACCACGGCGACTTTGCTTCCTTAATGTTGGCAGCTTGTAGTTTATGGTCCTCTTCCCACGTGAAGGTTTTTTTCAATTTATTTATCTCCCGAGTTTAATAGCGTAAAAATATATAGTCTAAAGCGTGTCGTAAGTGTAGGGCTTTTTATTAAAGAAAGAATTATTCAAAAATATGCTGCGATGGCTAACATCCTACGCCACAAAGTAGTGTGTGTTTACGCTTTATTATATTAGTATAGATGAGAAAATAATAATCAACCTAAATCTAAAACAATTGAAAAAGAATTTATCCACGGAAGAGTTCTAATGATATTTGCATTGAGTTCCTGACACGTGGCCATAAATAAATAACATTTTTGTCTATTCAGTAATTCATTTAACAAGTGAATAAATTATTTGTATCCATATCTTGGATTTGGATCACATTTTGCGGGTACACTTGATATCCTTAATTATATTCAAAATGTCATGCGGACGAAGGGTTGATTCAATGATGTTATCGCTTCTAAAGAATAGGAACACGGGACGTTTATGAATATCAAATATAACGCAAATGTGCTGGTTAATATGATAGATTTATCTCTTTGAAAAATTATAGATAAACTGATACGTAAATAACAATAAAAAAATCATGGATAGTAAATGGAGTATTTAACAAATTTAAATGCGAAAGCATGCATATATCTTTGTAATCTTGTTAATCCAAAACGACTGAACATATCAGAATTAAATTCAGAATGTGGAAGAGCCTGGAATATTGTGTAGGTTAATAAGAGAATTGCAGTTGAGAAATGGGATGAAAGCGCATATAATGGAAGTAAAAATGTTTATAATTGTAATTAGCTGAATAGTATTCACATAATTAAGTTCGTATCACACAGGCCCTGTGGCGCAATGGATAACGCGTCTGACTACGGATCAGAAGATTCCAGGTTCGAATCCTGGCAGGGTCGCAAGTGGGACTTTTTTATTTGATTTTAACTTTTTTTACATTATTTTTTATGTGGTAAATTTTAAATCAAAAACTATGCGGCTTTCTGGTTGAACTTTTTTTCGAATAAACAATACGTATTCCGTTTTTTTGATATGTGTGTACAAATTACATTTTTATAACTAACACATAAATCGATCTTCATACTAATAGTTATTATAAGTGCGAAAGTTTAGATGGATGGATGTTTTTTAGAGTTTGTAACCAAAACGGTTGAAATTTGGTATAGTTGTGGAGGATAGTCTGAAAGAACACATAGGATACTCACTTTTGTTTTTAATTGCACGCGGAAGAAGTCGCGGGCAAAAGCAAGTTGTCAAATAAATCGTTAAGGAAAGTAATTTTAAGACAAGCCTTTACTCTAAAAGAAATATTTAAATTTTATTTAAAATACTCATGCCGTTTAAAAGTACAGGAGACATTTGTACATATAGGTAAAGATGAAATTTATGAAAATTAATTTACTCATATGTAAATATTTATAATAATCCTTAATAACAGTTCGATACTTTTAGACATTTGTTCGTAGCATGTGTGAGTTCCGCCCTCACTCCGCCCCTGCATTCACAATGTTGCTAACTAATAAGTCCCTGTAGGACAACAATGAGATGAAAATTACATACATCTATCACGTTATAGTTAACTATTGTTTGCGATATATTATTTGTTTTCATCAATCGATGAGGATGTTTTTCTCTTACTTTCTGGTGTTACTATCCAGTTATCATCCTGCATTCTTCAGCTCAGTAGGTACGTATGTTCCATACTCAGTCATCATCTCTGAATGTTCTTAAGTGTTGTTTAATATGATAAACAATCCATACAATTAAGTCATTATGAATAAAACTGTGTTTTATGTAAGACGAGCTATTCCCATGCTGCTTTATCCGCATGAAATAGATACGTAAATAGTAAAAAAAAATAACACGCGGTAATCATTGATAACGTAGCTTTTTAATGGTAAAAGATTTTTTAAAATCGGCCCAATAGTTTTTGTGTTATTTCAATACATACCAAAATACAAATCTTCCTCTTTATCATATTAGTATAGACTAGGCGTTGCTCATGACTTCGTCCACGTGAAATTAATAAGAATAGAGCACATAGCGTAGTTAATCAGTGATAATGTAGCTTTTTAATGGTGGAAGAATTTTTGAAATCGGCCCCATAGTTTTCGAGTTATTTCAATACATACAAAAATACAAATCTTTCCTCGTTTTAATATTAGTATAGGTATACAGTGAAGTTCAGAGCGCCAGACTCTACGAGCCTTCCTGTGGCCGCCCGCATCCGATGTTTCCGGTCCGGTGCAGCTCCTTGCCTATCTATACTTGTACTAAGATATGGAAAGTGTTCGTTCAATATCTATTTATATGTATTCACTTTCAAATTTTATAGAAGCTGTAGAAATATGTTGTTTAGGAAAGTATTTTATTAAACCTTTAGAATTATCTGTAGTTACTTAAAGATTTTGTTTTCGGATGTTACATTTTTTCTCAAAATTTCTTGATTTATTATTGTTTCTACCGCCAATGTTTATATCGCCTTGGTTTTTAACACTGTCACTGTAATGAATTTGCTTTAATACTAATTGTAAGCATACTTTTCGTAAAATAGATTTTTTTCTATTAACTAATGTCATGAGTGGTTAACATAACATATACCGTCTCATACATTTCGTTGCTAAAGTTCTGACGTAAGCGACCCATGAAAGGGGTCACGGGACCTGCTCAGCCGTCAGAGCTTTACCCCGTATATCTTAAAAGCATACCCTTTTTGCTGCCATCCAAAACGTTTGAGAGATAATTTTATAATTCTTCCCTTTCCGGCCATTTTCCGTTATTAAATATTTATGTTTTCCCCGAATATTAGGTGGGTTAACTGAGAGCCAATTAATTATTAGTACGACAGGTTGTTAAACGATATTCCGTTTTACGTAAAAACGAAAAGATTAAATTTGTATTTTAATCCAGAAGCCATGAAATATTGCACACAACATACACAAACGAGAAAATAGAGTCGATCTATTGTAACGATTTCAATAAAAGTAACTATTATGCTAATTGTGGTTTTGTTTTGTTATTCGAATGTGGGCGGGCGATTGCTTTGTAACAAAGAGAGACGTGATTGTTTAGAAAAATATTTTGACAAGTTAATTTTTGGCTGTCCCGCTGTCAAAATTGCCGCCTAATTTAGTGCGTGCGTCAGTCGCCGCCCAGTGATAATTTGAAATTAGAACGTTAAACTTTTTTATTGCCGCCACGTGTCAGAATTGATTCCTGCCATTCTTTGGACAGCATTTGAAGGGTTTAAACAACTCCCATAATATTGTTTGTTTGTTTCGCGTATTCGTCTTCTTCTTTTTTTCCCTTTTTTAATGTAACGTCGATGTTTTTAAATTATTTTTTTAAGGAGTTACTTAAATTGTTTTTCAGGAAAATTTAGTTATTTTATGTTTATTACACGACTATATTAAATCAACCGATTAAATTATTAACAAATGTGAAACGAATGTCAACTTTGATTTTAAATGAACGTACATTTTAGTAACATCTATGTGACGTAAGTAAAAGATACTCAGATGATATATTACCGCCTAAATCTTCGTACAAATGTTTGCTTCTACGTTTTTGAACGTACGGTCAGAAAAAAAATATGTTTGGTATAAATAGTTAAGAATTTGTATTTTTATTAAATGACAACAAAAAATAATTTGGGTCGCTTGAATTAGTTGAAATAACAATACCTAAAGAGTTATTTACTTATACCATGATATACCAATTAAATTTTATAACAAAGTTTAGGAAAATGTTGAAATCATGTTTTCCAACATTGAATATATTACTATTGAGTTTTTGCTTTATTGTGCTCAAAATGCATTTTTTGTGAAATACAATTTTAACAGGATTTTTTTCCAGTATCGAAAAAACTTTAACATGTGGGAAGAAAAAAAAGTTTTTTTAAATATGTTGGCTTTTCTATTTAATTGTTTGTTGACCGTACTTGGTAGTAGCGATGTCAAACGAACGGTAGTCTTAAAAGCTTACCAATTAGGGGCTAAAAGCACCTTCGGGTCGACTGCTTCGCGGCTCGCGGTTTCATTCCCTCATCAATTTTGTACGGTACACTCTCGTTACTTGGAAACTTTCCGCCGACAGCGAAAAATAAAACGAAAACAGTATCCATCCACTCCTACTCGAGGATACCTCGGATTTGTTTTTAAGAATATAAATTACTCTTATATGAGTCACTCCCCTCCAGATTTAAACTCGAAAAGTACTGGTTTGGATTCTTCATTAATTATTGTGAAAATACCTAATATGAGTGAATTATTCTAGTAAAGTTTTACTTATCGAAATAGTACATTATGCACAACATATAGACATATTTTAATTCGTTACCGTCTTTATCATGTTATTTAGTGGATTAAATTTCACATTACTTTTTACCTGTTATTATTGCCTAGAAAACCGAGCTTTATAATACTGTTATAATATTAAATTGTTTGTGCAGAATATCTCGATTCTACGATGTCATGAACAAAAAGGAGACGAATCTAAGAGCCACGAGCAAACCTTAAAACTTTTCAACATGAAAGTTTAAAAGTGATCCGAATGGGGGAGTATCGGGTGGGGAGACGGTTGCTAGGCAACGCTACACCCGCCCGCTCAACGCTGCAAATCTGCGTTTGATATATAAAACCAAAAATTTATTGTTTTATTTGAATCAGATTTATATTTTTGTATCCCTTGGATAATGTGCTAATTCGACGGTAGTGTAAAATGTTTCTAGGTAGATCTAAATTTAACTAACTACTATCAAATAGTTTATCAATAAAAAATATAAAATATGCCCGAGAGTCTTCTATTCGAGATTAAGGTTACATTTATTAAATTATGAAAATGGAATGGTTTTCATATTAATTTTTAATTAAACTAACTAAGCTATGGTTTTGGCATTGTACTCGTATAGTAGACTATTGTGAAAATTGAAAGTAGCCACATAAAACATTATCTCTTGCTCACAAAGTCACAGTTAAAAGCGTTTTATACTTAGTTTATAAACAAGTTAAAGTAAATCTCGTCTCATTTAGTATATCAAATCTACTTATTGCGACTTAAGCACTTGTTCCACTGAACTAAATGATTGCACAATTGTACGTATTGCTAATTCTTAGCAATTTACGTCACACATACTAGACAAAAGGAAGAGTGCGGAATGTTCTGAGTGGAGAAGTCAATTAGAATGCAAATGTAAGAAAACGACCATTAGGGGAGGCTTTGCCGCACGCACCCCCTGCCTCCCTCCCCCGCCCGCGATGTATTGATCATACGATCCCTCATACGCTTACATACGCCCGTCTCTTTTTAACTTCCCCACAACAGATCGCTATAAACATAAACATTCTCTTTCAAAAATGCCTTCAGTACAATATATGATACACGATTTTCAACTTTATTTTTATGTATCAACGTACAATTTTGTACAACAGAATTTTAAAGAAGTTAAGCTGTTCTATGATAGAAAACCCCTTGTTGTGCCAGTAAATTCTGTTCGTGTCTTTAAAGGAATAAAGATCTATTTCAGGGATGAGTTGAAAGAAAATGAATCCTATATGAATAAATCAAGGGTCGTTATTGAGGAGCATATAACAGTTCTGTTTTCAATTTGTTGACAAATTTCGTCGTACCTATGTACGGTAAAGAGGTCTGTAAACAGGACGATGAGTCTGTTTACATATTTACTACAGATAAGTGTTTAGGGTGATCTTAAGTAATAATAAAATCTCTGAAGTATCATTTTCCTACTTAAATGAAAAGAACTTCATAATACATCACGTGATTTATTTAAATTTTCAAGAATATTTATTGTTAAACTTTTAAGTACATAATCACATTTAATTGAATATTATAAATGCGAAAGTATAGATGGATGGATGTTTATTAGAGTCTGTAGCCTGAACGGGTGAATGGATTTCGATTAAATTTCGTATAGTGACATGTAAATGATAGTCTGGAAGAACACATAGGTTACTCACTTTTGTTTTTTTAATTGCACGCGGACGGAATAGCTGGTGATAGCTAGTTTATAATACACTTTGTATTCCTAATATCATCATCTCATCGTATTTTAAAAAATCGAAAGTTTGTGTTACATGACGTACTCATCTTTCATTTGTTTTTAGAAGTCATAGACTTTTGACTGTTTAGAACAGTAACTATGAAAGTAAAATATAAAGCCTTAGAACAGTGGTAAAAGTAAATTATGATTTTTATCTTGGTTTGATGTTTTCACATCCCTAAATTATCTATCGATCATTTCATGCTGGAGACATCCCTAACGTAACGAAATTACGTGTATGCTCATGTTGAATATTGTGAATTGTATTAAATTGGATTCCTCCTCACCTTTCGATGGCGTCAATAGCTTGATCAACGATTGCTTTATTGCAAGTCAATCTTACTTATTTGTCGATTTTTAATAATTCATATTAATATTATAAATACAAAAGTTTTTTAAAATATATACCCAAAACGGTTTAACGGATTTCGATGAAATTTTTCACAGATATAGAACAAAGCTTGGAAGAACGCATAGGCTACTTTTTTAATTTTCGCGCGCATGATATTCCTTTTATTCGCTGTCTGTAACAATAAACTTCATTCAGAATACCATGTCTATCATCGACATACTTAAATATTGACATGTAAAATAAAATAATAAAAAAATACCATATTCTTGTAAAAACGTTGAACGTAAACACTCTATACGTGGTCATTTTTAAGTGACTTCAAATACGAATGAAGACCACTCAGCGCCATCTAGAACTCTGAAACAAAAACAATGTGCGTCTCATGAAGCATGCGCCAATACTACTAAAAATCGCATTGCATTCTAGTCTTTAACGTATTATGATAGAGTATAAATTCCATTGCAACCGTTGCGCTTGCGCTGTAACATTGATTTCCTCTGTCATGTTTGGCAAGCGATGTTGTGAAGACTGAAAATGTTTTTATATTTAATTTAATAAACAAAAACAAAAGGCGTTCTGTGTTAGTGGAACGAGACATGAAAGTTACTTGTGAGTTGTGTTTTGTTATTATTTTATTTGTTACAGTTTTCTTTACTTGTGGTAAAAGCCCCTTGAATCTACGAAATGACATTGTTGCATTGCTAATTGAATGTGATATTTCTATAATTAATCAATTTCTTCAAGACTTCATATTCTATAGAGACAATATTTCTGCGGGGTTAATATTGCATGTTTTTATTATAAAATAACCTTACTTATTTGTTGAGCTTCTTTAATACAGAAATGAATGTTAAAAAACAGTATATTAACATAAATGTCTCATGATAGTCTTTGTTCTCAACAATTAATTATTTTTAGATTTAATACTTTGTTGTACTTTGTCTCTACATTACGAGTTTTTCTCGATATTTTTGTGGCTGTCAGTTCTACATACATTTATAGATGTTGTAATATTTCCATCGATTCTATCAAAACAAAGCAAGTCAATAGAATTAGTGTTAATTTGTTAATACAGTAGGACCTCGATTTGAAAGATAAGTTCATGATCAAGAAGGGAGTGATGACTGAGATGACGGATGATAGAGGTATTTGGAAGACGAAAACCCGGTGCGCCCATCCTACGGGAGTAGGATAAGGTAGGGGAGATGATGATGATGAACCTCGATAAGTTAAAATACAAGGGAAACGTACCTCCGTAAGACAGTTATAGAGGTTTTGAGTTATCAAGGGTCTATGTTGTAGATGTTTTGGGTTCCGATAAGAAGGGAACATATTATTTTTTGAAGTTATAGAGGTTTGTAAGTTACCGAGGTTCTACTGTACATCGTTAAATAGCAAGGTATAACACTTATTTGTCACATTAAATACAAATATTATAGTAATAGTTAACAATAGTTAACTCTCCATGTTGACCTTTTTGTGGCCAGTATGTAGGCGTTGAGATACGTCACAATAATCCTCTTTCTTTTTTTTTGTTGCAAATGTAACCAAAGTGATGCGAATAATAAAGGAATTTGTGACCCGTAGTACAAGGGCTGCATTGTAATCGCGTAGTATTAGGGTGTTATCGGGTGATAATACGACGGACAGCCGCGACATCCCCCAGCCCCAGTTACATACGGACAGATCGGCGATACAACCATAAAAAGATAGGTATATTTTTTATTATTGAAATACCAACGATCTTCATTTATAAGAACTACCTAAATATTGCAAATCCATTTTTTAAATTATATTTATAAATATTCCGCCGTGATATAATTGCTACTGTCCATCGATTGAGTCAATTAATGACAGTTTTTACTGTATTCATTAGCCTGTGTTCACATTTTAATTGTAATAATTAAAATAAATAGAGATAGTGTTGTCTAAATTAAAAAATAAAAATAAAACGCCTAGTGTTTATTATTGTAAATAAAGGTAATGTAAATGAAAATAAAGGTACGCGTAATCATGATTTATTTTTATAATGTTAGCTATCCAAACGCTGTGACCGTATGTCTCGCCGCCTTACTACGCCGCTTGCGCCGGACACCCTGACATACGGGGCGCGCACTTGTCACTGCAGGCGCATAATTTGTCCTCCATTATGGCTTTATTTTATACACTGTACTCTATAATAAAGTGGGGTCCGATTAAAGATTGGTCTCGTCTTTCCAACATAACAACTGTTCGATCTGGGTCGAAGGGGACGAGACCGAATAAATTATTCATTTGAAATATTGAAAATGAACTGTTATAGATTTTCAAAGGGTGCTCAAATGCACCTGTTTGTTATTTGACATGTTTACTTATTAATTTTAAAATAATAATTCTCTTTTATCTGTGCTATGGATTTAATATTACGTCGTCATCCTGCATTGTTTTCTTATAATGTTGCTAATTTACATGGCATGGATATGATAAATTTGATTCGTTACTATGTAGGGAATTACAAATACGAGTTTAGAGAGAGAATTAGATAGAAAAATTGAGTAAATAGGATTAAATGTTTTTGTTTCAAGCGGTACCATAACTCCGATGTTATTTTTTGGAAGCTTAATGCATAAAAAATTGTGTTTCGAAACGTCATTATTGTCTTACCTAAAAATCGGTTTGTAAAATAAATAAAAAAGATATTTGCATTTAAACGTTTAATGGCGATAAACACTCGAAAAATGAATTACAATTTGAGAAGCGAGTTGTATTTGAACGACAAACGTAATAGCCGGGGCACTTGTGAAATGAGGTGTGAATATTGCGTCTCTGCGGGGTACAGTCCAGGGCCCCATGGGGCGGGCCCCAGCTGCTCCCTTACCCTTTTCGAGGGACTACAATGCCCTTCAAATTACACCCAGGTACCAGTACTTTATAGTACTGTTCTAATTGTATCTGTATTTGTCGATTGTTGTGTTAAATTGGCGACGCGTGCGCGTTGCAAAAAATACAGGAAATATGTTCTACAGTGTGTTTATTGCTGTCAAGTTTCAATAAATATAGATCCGAATATATCCGGAGATTTGCTTAATGCCAACTAAAAGACATCTAGTAAAAGAGATTTACTGGCTAATTATGATGAATAAGAAATTAACGATTTAAAAGGCTCAATAATTTACGATGTATGTATGTAACAATGATTGCAGATTGTAAAAAATCTACACCAATGACGCCTTAAGTTATCACTTTTTTTTTTTATAATACGAGGTGACAAACGAGCAAGCGGCCACCTAAATCCACCGAAATGGAAAGCGACCGCTGCCCATAAACATCCGCA